GTGAATCCAAGTTTTCAACATCTTTAAATTGATTTACAACACATAATTTATTATACACTGCAGAGATACTTTAACAATTTAACGTTTTTTGTCGTTCAAACCATTCAAACGACAGTCATAGGCCGGAGGGAATTTATGTTCGCAACAAGTAAATATGCCACACTGAGTTTTCAAAGAGAGAAAATTACCTTCAATCCCTGTTATCATAAGGCAACAATACAATTCTGTGTAGCACACACCATGGATATATTCAGAACATTGGTACGAGCGAAATTCCGCTTACACGTACCCTATGGACCTTATCTACGCATTACACGTGTATTTTTCTAATCTCCACACATGCGTGCTTGTGCTAGTGTGAGTGATGGAGTTTTCGGGATTGTAAATAACATAACTCAGAAAATACTAATTTAACGCTACCAGACTAAAGATGACAATAAAAACAATCCATAAGTAAAGCACAACCTGTTTTACTATTGACACATACTTATACACAAAGAAGCAAAGGACATGGGACTTAACACAATCACCTAACAGACACATATGTCTGGTAAAATGTCTCAAAGTCGAATGCGACTCCATTGGGATTTCAGGATGTTTTAATAAATAATGTGGTGTTTATTTTCAGAGCCATTAAACCATAATACCTCTTTAACCCCGTAAGGGATAAACATCGTCTATGAAAAGTTATTTAAGTTGGTTATTAAGATGCCAGAGAAAATGAATATAATTGATTAAAATACTTCACAAAACTAAACGAATAGTTTCCTTTAGGGTCATGTTAACCGTCGAATTTACAAACTACATGGACAGAGATACATATATATCTCAACCTTTTCAGATCCAGCTCAATCTATCGTGAGATCCGGCAAGTTTTAAGAGAAGTTAGTATAATCATGTGTATGGGTCTGTTAACTAATTTGAATTGGTACCACACTGTGTGGTGAATGGTATAAATAGTAAACAAATATTCTACAGAACTACCACTGGACTTTAGCTTTTGCGGAGAAAAATCCCGAATTGTTTCTACTGTGAGTAGAAATTAAACATCATTTAATGTTTCATTATTACGGTATATATGGACGCACGAACGACTGAATATAATGTTTTCTTAAAAAGTCTTGTGCTTAGCTCAACTAAACGTGTTCAAAAATAATTTGATATTTAAAAAAAAATTGACCTTCATTTTCGATTCACCCTATTGAAGTTTTTCTTTGTTTTTATTGGAGACCGTAATTAACGTCCTCGAAACCCTTTTATGTTATATTTATTATTTTTCATTACCCCCATGCATTAATTATGATCAAAAAAAAACCTGGATCTCTGGCCCATAGTGCATCACTACATACTTGTCTATGGAAAATACCTTCTTGTAAGTTATTCTTTTAGGTTATCATTAGGTGGAACATCTTCATACCAAAATTAATCAATAATATGTTTTTATATAAATTATCTATATGGGAACATTTTTTGGTATATTCCCCATATTTTCGGTTTTTATACCCTTCACCAAACTGTGGTACCGGGTATTATGTCTTTGTGCATATGTTTGTAACAGGCAAAAGGAAACGAGATAGACCCATGGTTCCTTTTGAGAATATGCATAGAATCACTTTTTAAGTCGATTTATGCATGTCCGTCCGTCCGTCTGTCCGTCTGTCTGTCTGTCCATGTATTTTTGTGAGCAAAGTACAGGTCGCATTTATGATCCGATATGGATGAAAATTGGCACAGTTCATTTGTTTGGCCCAAGGACGAACCCTATTGAAATTGGGAAAAATCGGTTCAGATTTAGATATAGCTCCCATATATATTTTCGGCCGATTTAATGGAAACGGTCCCTATTTATCTTTCGATTTGCACGAAATTTAGTACAGGCTAATCAATTAGGCCTAGAATGATATCTGCCAAGTTTCGTGAAAATCGGTCCAGATTTAGATATAGCTCCCATATATAGTTTCGTCCGATTTCATGTAAATGGTGCCCCAAAGTCCCTATATATCTTTTGATTTGCACGAAATTCTGCATAACGTACTGAATTAAGCCTAGAGTGATGTCTGCCAAGTTTCGAGAAAATCGGCCCCGATTTAGATATAGCTCCCATATATAGTTTCGTCAGATTTTATGTAAATGGTGCCCCAAAGTCCCTATATATCTTTCGATTTGCACGAAATTTGGTACAGCCTAATCATTTGGGTCTAGAATGATGTCTGGCAAGTTTCGTGAAAATCGGTCCAGATTTAGATATAGCTCCCATATATAGTTTCGTCCGATTTCATGTAAATGGTGCCCCAAAGTCCCTATATATCTTTCGATTTGCCCGAAATTGTGCATAACGTACTGAATTGAGCCTAAAATGATATCTGCCAAGTTTCATGAAAATCGGTCCTGATTTAGATATAGCTCCCATATATAGTTTCGTCCGATTTAATGTAAATGGTGCCCCAAAGTCCCTATATATCTTTCGATTTGCACGAAATTTGGTACAGCCTAATCATTTGGGTCTAGAATGATGTCTGGCAAGTTTCGTGAAAATCGGTCCAGATTTAGATATAACTCCCATATATAGTTTCGTCCGATTTCATGTAAATGGTGCACCAAAGTCCACATATATTTTTCGATTTGCACGAAATTTGGCGTACTGAATTTAGTACAGAATGATGTGTGCCAAGTTTTTGTGAAAATCGGTTGACATTTAGATAGAGCTTCCATATATTATAGATTGATTTTAAGAAATTGACGCACCAAGGGACCAATATATGGCTGATAGGAACAAAACTTACTGAAATTAGTGTAACCTAACCTGTGATTAGTTTCGTTGAAATCGGTTCATATTTGGATATAGCTTCCATATATATTTTCACCCGATTTTAAGTAAATTGGGCATCAAATTCCTCATGTTAGTCAGATTGGCATCAAATTTTGCACAACGTACACAATTGAGCATAGAATTACGTAGTTGCGTTTTCTAGAAGTACAGACATAGCCCAACGGATGACCTATTGATATTTTTTTTGAAGTCGATTTACATACTTTTGTCCCATTGTAACAAACGAATGACATGTTTAAGTCGATTCACATTTAGATAAATATCACATATTTTATTTCATCCAATTTCATGTTATTAGCCCTTTTTAATATACTCATAGTGGTGAAGGGTATCATATAGTCGGCCCCGTCCGACTTTACTACTTTCCTTGCTGGTTATTTTATGTCATTATACGTAAATTTTGTCGCATGCATTCTGGGCATTTTGATGGGTATGCGATTAAATCACAGAACATTTTCCATCTGTTGTGACTGTAAATTTATTGTTAAAATAACAACTATTTATTAATGGGAAATGTATGGCATTGTCCGCCGTTAAAAAACGAAACGAAACTCCGTTAAAAAAAAAAAAAAAAAAAAAAAAAAACAAACATACCCATTATTTTGTACCATTTTGTGGTGGAGGGTATAAAATCACATTCTACATTATAACCTAGATTTTATAAAAAAACTTATTAATTTATATGTGATTCATGTTAACAACAATGTCCCGAAAACAAATCACATTAACAGTAAAAATAAATACTTTTTATACCCTACACAACTGTGTTGTCAGGGTATTACCCAGTAGAAAGTGTCTTGCAGGCAACATCAACGAATCGTGTAAGACAATGGAAATTCCTTGAAGACACTTTGCAGACTGCAATGTAAAATCGTTTAGGAAATTTTCACACAAGTGTCGCAGTAATCATGCAAGACAACTTGGGCAACTAAACTCCCTACTTCTCGTTAACGACAGATTCACTTACCCTGTCGTATACCTATTGTCATCAATCTTGTCGTCAATCATACCCCATTTAAAACTCAAATAAAAATATATATACATACATACAAGGTAGATATATAAGGTAGCCGCATCGGCGAATTGGGAACATAATATGTCAAAATTGTTATCAAGGCGAATAAAAATGAATTCGCCTTTTATTTTTCCACCAATCAGAATAAGGCATTTTTACAGTTTTATAAAATATTTATTTACTTTTTTTAATTTTGTGTGATTTTTGTAAATGGTTAATTTATGAATTAAAAATAGTGTAAAGGATAAAAATGATTCGTTAATGTTAAGGAATTGATGACAAGGAATACATTTTTGGAGATACGAAGACGTGGACCCATTTGAATATGTTGTCTGTGGTAGTAACACATCAGCATACAAATCTCAACATATGTGGAAATCTTAAGTTCGAAATTACAACCAAATGATTGAAATCGGGACGTATCATTGTATGGAAGCGAACATAGAGTTTTGCAAGGAAATTTTCAATAAGAAAACAAAATATCAAATTGAAGAAACTGAATTCTAACAACGTTTAACAATAAAACTCCAGAATGTAGTTCTGGTTTTCTTGATCATATCTATGTATTGTCTATTCTAAAGTCTTCTTCGAAGATTAACGCGTTGCCTTCGATTATGGATATAATTTATGCCGCATTATAAACGATATCTATAATGAGAGGATTTTTGCGTGAAATACGCCACCAAATCTTTATAGAAAGTCCCAAGGCAATAGATTTTTAAAAAAACCAAAACGCTCTTCTGTAAAGGTCTATAGAAGTTCATGTGAAGGTATCATAGGCATGACATATATTTTTGTTGCTTTAGTCTGTCTTCTTTAATTTTCATTTATAATTATATTTTATTTTTTTATGGCGATTTCAAGAACAACAAATTGTTGTGACATATAATGTTACCATCAGCTGGCTTGATACGGTTACCTTTTTAATATACCTTGCATACATACATATTTTTCATTTATATTTCTTATAGCATGAAATTTATTACATTACAAAAACATACATTGTATTAACATAATAATATAATAATACATAATATAAATAGCACATTTCCAGAGACGTCGGCGTAGTGATTTTCACCATTCTAACAACATCTATAAAGAAACAACAACATTAAAATCCATTGAAATATGAGACATGTTTCAGATATTACTTACAATATTTCACCAATTGCCATTTATCTGCACCATCCTAAAAGTAAAACAATACATTTAAATAATGATATAAATAATTATATATTCAGTTAAACTTACCTATTTTAACCACGAAAACAAGTCTTCTTTATCCAAGATTTCCTATATACATATATTTTCAGAAAGAATTTTTTATTTGTTTCTGTCAATATTTCATAGTACACTCGATTCAGACAATTTTTGTTTTGTTTTCATATTTCGAGAAGAACGACATTATCGACGACATATTATGTGTTTTGTCATGAATGACAATTCCATAAATTTTGTCAACGTTTCGTCTACGAAATTGTCACGCCAGAGAGTATTTTCTACTGGGTATAGCTTTGTGCAGCTCCAAGAGTTTGTAACGACGAGAAATATTGGTCCTAGACCCACCTTTAAGTATACCGATCGTCATATCTTGACTAGCTGAGTCGATCTAGACATGTGTTTCTGTCCGTCTGTCCATTATAATTTGTAAACACGATAGAGGCCACAGTTATGGACCAATCTTCGCGAAATTTTGCATGTAGGATGGGTTCTGGCCAATGAAGACCCCTATTTGGTAAAAATCGGTTAATATTTAGGGGATGAAATGGACCAAATACTAAATTTTTGTCGGTTTTTGTGATTGCTTTAGAGGCCGCAATTGTGGCCCAAACTTCGCGAATTTTTACATGGAGAAGGGGGTCGAGCCAAAGAATAAGCATGCCTGTTTTGATAAAGATGGGCCAATATTTAGCGGTTCAAATGGACCCTGGCTTTTGTGTGAAAAATTACAAAATTTGTATTCTATGGCGTATATATTTACTCCTGAAGGACATAGACCCGAGAAGTTGATAGTATATCCAAGAGTAGTGGTTGGCCTATAAATTGATACCAATTATATTGTCGTATGTACTCGGATGTGGGAGTTACACTCAAATATTTACACTCAAATATTTACAGGTGCTTGCGTATTCAGATATTATTTAGTAACCCATTACCACATTATAGGACGGAAATATGGCGCTGATCGTTTTAAAATTTTCCATGAAGTTCCAATTATGGTCAAGGACAACGCCTATAATTTTCGGTAATGATCAGATTAAAATTTTGGTACGAAATGGACCGAAAACTTAATTTTTTGTATGTTTTATAGTCGAATATAAGCCGAACGTCACAACACAACCCACCGTGAGGGGAACCTAGACCAGGGATGGTCCGTGTGACGAATTTTTTTGTTTTCGACCTATAAAAAGTTGTAAACGTTGAAAACGTAATATACGCAACAACGTGATAAATGTAGTAAACGTAATTTATTTCAGTTAGTTTCAAGTATATGTAGAATTTTTTACATATATCTGACTATTCCTTACTAGAAGTGATAAAAAATTCTTACTGTTTTGAGAAGAAAAATTTTGAAATTTGTTATGGATTTGAGTAGTTTTTAAATTGATTAATGGAAATACCTATTTTGTCAAAAACCTAATGGTATTGGATAGATTTGCGACGTTACTGACGTATGTCGGAAATGTACGTCATTTAGATCACTGTTTCTGGCGGACCATCCGTGACCAGGACAAGTAATTAGAAGGTCTGTACGGAAAATGTGCTGTTGACCACTAATCGGGCAAGTCGCGGCAAATATCACGAAATATTGCTCAGGCTCGGAATAAACACCCGCAGAAAGTTAGAGTTCCGCGGTAGTTGTGTAGGGTATCGTATGGTCGGCCCCGTCCGACTATACTGCTCCGCTCACTGGTTGTAACAGCATTATTAACCTTTCATAGCAATAATATTGAGTATCCATTAAATTGCAGACAAGCAGATAGGCTTAGATTGGAGAATACGGCTAAGATATTTTTGCAAACCGAAAATGAAGAAGAAACACTACATCGGAGCTCTATGAATGCATGGATCCATAAGTCCATTGAAGATGGTGTAATTTGTTCAGATATATATTTTTCAAAACGGGCCAAATTGCGTCTAGAATGACAGTTATTAAGTTTTGTTGGAACCGGATCAGGCCTACATAAAGCTTTCATATACATTTCGGGCCAATTGCATCTATATTGTATACCAAATATCAAACGTTTGTCCGATTGCGACGAATTTTTGCTCATGTGCGGAATACAGAGTATCCAAATATTTATCATTTGGATGTTCCACATCATTTTGAATGGTTTTTATAACATTTCGCAAAAAACTGCTAGTGCTTTAGAATAATAATCCTAAACCTCTTAACGCTGTTGTTACACATTTTATTTAGGTTATATAACAGACACAAATTCTTTAACTATTCAATGTTTAGACAGCAAGTATATAATGTTAGCATAGTTTTCCTAAGTTGTAATTTTATCTGAATTAGTTCAAAAAATCTTCTAAAAATAATCCACTATACAATCATAAAACAACAACAATAACTATGTTCAACGTTTTCCGACACACTGTTCTTTAACTATTTTGTCAACAATTCTGTAAATCTGTTCTGGCTCTTGCACTCAAATAGAAATTGTTTAGGTCACCTTTTTTGTGCGACTCTCCATAGTTGGGGAAAACTTTAAACAGGAAATCAACATTGAACGTGGTCACTGAGCTAAAAGTTTACATTGAATAACAACCTAACTAACATAATTAAAATACACACAGATTTAGGTATTCAGTCTCAAAAAACGGAGGATATAAAAGGAAAGGGCGCTAAAATCAAAAATGTTATTGACGTTGCTATATTTCACAAGCAATATCTGCTCGACTCTTATATAATTTATTTTTTTACTAGTATTTATCAATTTTATTGGAAAGGAAAAAACATTGAAGCTAATAATGAAATTCTTTCTTATACAATTCCAATATAATTTCAAATAATAATATAATTGAAGTCATAACTTTTTAAATATTCGGTGGATCTGTTAGTATGTCGAGAGCAATTTTGTTTTTTTTTCGTTCGTTCCCACGACCTCTTACACCCGCCCCTGCCGACCGAGGGAGCTACCTCCCTATACGCAGGGAGCACGTACACACCAAAGACCGGACTATGGCGGGTTAGTAGTGTTTTAACAATTCCGGCTACAGATAGATCATCAGCCGGCAATTAGTAATTATACAACAAATATAGATTAGAATTAGATCAATAAATGCCATAAACTAACTTAGTATACATTAAACAAACAAATGAAAGGGTCTACTGTTTCCAAGCCCAGTATAGAATTCTTGATAGCATGCAATGGACTACTTAGGCATATTACATTACTTATGCTATTATATATTAAACAAAGGGACCTCATTGGGTTGGGTTTTTTAGTTCATAATTAGTTCTCGCGACGGCCAACTTCAACGGTTCAAAATTACTTGTTCTTCGAGATGGAACATTAAAAATTATTTCTGCCGTAAGAAAAGGTGAATCAATCAGTCCACGTGTTAATTTAATAATAAATAATGCTCATAAAATAGAGCGTCTTCTTTCTAGTGTTGGAAGATTAATTAATTTTATAAGGTGGAAGTAATTCCGATGGATTCCTAATTAGGCCACGCAAGGCAAATATTAAAAACTGAACTTGAACTGACTCAATTTTATCACAGTGACATTTATAAAACGGACTCCAAAGAATGCAACCATTCTAGAACTGGGCGGACAATACTAACAAATAATCTTTTAGTAACAAAAGGGTCATCGAACTCTAGCGTTTAATGAAACCTAATAAAGACTTGGCTTTACTAACACATGAATCGATATGAAGATGAAACCTTCGTTTAGGATCTAAGATGACGCCAAGATTAGAGAAAGAATCAACATTGTCCAGTTTATATGACCCTATAAAGTAGTCGGTTTGTATTGGATGTGATCTGAATAAGAAAATTTCTTGCATTTTTTTAAGTTAACAGACATTACATTTGTACTGCACCAGTTCAAGAGTGAGTGTAAATCGTACTGTAAATAAACTGAATTACGTGTATTTGTACGTGAAAACAGCTTGACATCATCTGCATACATTAGTATTTTAAAATAACGAATGGAATTCGGAAGATCATTTAAATAAAGAACAAACTATAACAGACCCAAATGACTTTCTTGCGGAACTCCAGAGGAAACAATAATATCTTTAGAAAAGGAATCACCGAAAAAAACTTTTTGGGTACGATCCTCTAAATATGATTAAATCCAGCTTAAAAGAATTGACGGGAGCCCTATAACATTTAGTTTATGGAGCCATAGCTTATGAACTACAGTATCGAAAGCTTTACTGAAGTCTGTATAAATAACATCAGTTTGTTTTTTAATTGCAAAGCCATTATGAAAATGACAAACAAATTCAAGAAGATTGGAAGTAGTAGATCTGCCTTTCATGAAACCGTTTTGAAAAGGTAAATAATGCTGTGAAAATTCCACAAAGTGATTTAATTGGAGTTTTAGATGCTTCTATATTGGTGTGTATATATATATATAGTGTATCAGTTGTACAATAAGCAAAATCTTCTACAATATGAACTATTGTTGGGCGCGATTTTATTTGCATCTCGTAACGTAATCAGTATATTTGTATAAATAAAAGTGATATTATAGTTTTTATTTATTGAAGGAAAGTGTAACATGTGCGTGACGATGAAAAAATTATTCGATAGAGATAGAAAACAAAATTTGTTTTATTTGGTTTTGTCATCTCAAGGTCCACACACAACATCATTATCCGAAATGTTACTTATATTAGAGCCTGTATTGAAACATATATGAATTTTGTCATGCACGCGTTGCATATTTTCTTGCACTATTTAACTGCCCTTATCACGGGATGGTGTTGCTATATATGTAATTTTGGTAAGACATTTCTTTATTCGAATATAATATTATTTATTGATATTGTTTTATCTAACAGCGTTCACACTTATTACAAATGACACTATAAAACTAATAAATAATTGCCCAACATATTCCATTTTACCACATTTTTGCAACAGTTTATTTGACCGATATATGCAAAAGATGCACCAATATTGAATTTTGCTACACAAAATACCAAATTACAACTAATAGAGTAACTTCGGGCAATGTGGGCCACCATTTTGTTTTTTTTTTTTAATACTATGACCATTACATAGGTAAAAAATAAACAGCAATTGATTCAGTAATTTAGTAGATATGTTGTCTAATCATATTTCAGGTCAAAAATTATATATGTATATTTGTCTATAATTTTTTTATTGAATTAAATTTAAAAAATCCAAAATTGCGAAATAAAACACATGACGAGTAATGTGGACCAGTAAGTACGGGTCATGTGGACTACTAGTCCACATTACCTCACCATCCCGTGATAAGTGCAATGCAGAGAGTGAGCGGCTTCTTCCTAGGCAAACCCGTTCAATTCTGGGACAACTAAGGTCCGGATACAGCAATGTACTCAATTCGTATCGAGAGCGCATTGTCCCCGGAACCATTTTTCCTGCCAGCAAAGCCCTCACGACACACACCATTTATTCATGCCCATAGACTTATGGCTAATGCCAATAGAGGTGGCACAATTTCTCCGGCTACCCTCTTCAAATCCGAATCCCTAATAATTAATTAATATATTTTCCTTTTCCTACTTCCATTTTTCAGGAAAGAACTTTCGTCAACAGCCAACCTGTTACAACAACAACCAGCAAATAAATTGGTAGACACAATTTATGGAATACCCGTGGTAAATTTTTATTAATTTGATTTTTGGGTAACAGTAAAAACATAAATAGAAAATAAAATGTTATTTTCCTTAAACAATAAAACAAAAACATTTCTTCAGTAGCTTAAATTAAATTATACAAATGTTAATGTAAAAATTTATATAGTTATTGTTATATAAGTTATTGATGATTTTAAGAACAGGGCTTACAAACGAAAATTGCACTTTTTAGGAAGACATTGTCGTGAGCCAATAATAAATTGAATGTCTTCGTTAAATGAAATATTACACAATTCGCACCGTGTGTCCTTATTTTGTGGAGTCTATTAAAACCAGATTAGAATCTGATTCGCTTGAAGAGGAATCACTTACATTGCGCGAATGAATTCGTTTGCTTTCTCTTAATTTTTCTGCCATAACGATATTTTTACTTTTCGCAGCATTTCTCTTTGTTTTACGTTTTTTTATTTTCTTTCAATCCTTTTGTTTCCTTCTTGATTTTCATTAACTGAAATGTTTGCAGGTCCTTTTGATATGGAGACTTTGTGAGAACTGTTGGCTTTGTTTTTCTTGTTTTTTTGCATGGACAAATTAGATTTTATTTTAGGAACTGGAAATAGTTGCCAGGGTGAAATATATTTACTTGTACTTGGATGTAAATCTAATGCACAATCTATATGGTCAGAACTTTGTGTTATGTCGGTCCATTCCTTTACTTGTTGTCCAGTTATTTGTCCAGAGCTTTGTATAGTTGAATTATTTTCTTTCGAAACTTGTTCCCCAGCTATGAAATCCGCGTCGTCAAAAATATATCTATCGAATGGATAAATGCCAGTGCATTTGAATCCATTGACACCGATATAGCCCTGCTGCACTTTGAGATAAGCATTTGCAAAAAGTTCTGCAACGTCATAGTTGGTTACTTTTCTTCCATTCTCACGCATAAATGTTCTTATTTCTTCACTGTAATAAGTTTTAAGCGTTCTCAAAAATGTTCTATCTAGAGGCTGCATCTTGTGGCTTGAATGATGAGGTAAAGAAATTATTGTTACACCATTATCGCGAGCGAGAATCAAAAGAACTAAATTTCTAGTGTGACTATAATGTCCATCTAAAATTAACAAACATGGCTCGGTAGGTGATGCTTTTGTTATTTTTAGGAAGTGGGGAAACCAATTTGTGAATATATCAGTTTGAACCCATCCGGATACATGACAAGCAAATTCGGATCCAGGTGGGGCGTTCTTCATAAGCCTAGTATTCTCATTTTTTCGGGGAAATATAAAAAATGGAGGAACGAAAGATCCAGCGGCACTCATACAACTGATGACAGTTACTAATGAACCACGTTACGCAGAAGTCATTGATCTAATTTGCCGTTTTCCTTTTCTGGCCACAACTTTTGGAATTTGGGATGGAACAATAGTAAGTCCAGTCTCGTCAACATTCCATATTGACATTGCTGGAAATTTTTTCTCGTTATACTCACTTTCCTAAATATTAAAAAACAAATCCACATTTTCCTTTGTAAAGCCTTTTGCTCTATCAAAAGAAGTACCGGTTGGTTCCCTCAAACTTAATTCATGTTTATGGCGTCGCATAAAGCCGTAAAACCATTCTTTACCAGAAAATTCCTGAATAACGGAAAATTGATTTGGTATGTTATTTCTTTTTGCCAGTTGAAAAGCAAGTGATCTTATGTCTCTTCTTGT